TTACTCATTTGAGAAAATCTCATTTTAGTCAGATTCATATAGGAACAATATTAATTGGAATAGCAGGATTAACCAGAGCACAAGTAGGTACAAAAGCTTTAGTATACATATATGATGATAGATGGGATAATCACCAACAAGCAGCAATAGCAACAGCTGAAGTAGACTTAAGTTCAAACTTAGCAGTTATAGGTTGTATTCCAAATTATGTTATGACGATTAATTAATTTAGTAAATATATTAAAGTGAGCATAAGAACAAAAATTATAATATGAAAGGAGAGTATAAAAATTTGTGTATTAGCTTAATGTATATAGGTAAAGTGTCTGATAGATATAATCATAAGTTTAATTTAGAGTTTCAAAATTTAGTTCAAACATTTGGCAGTAAACATGTAAATATGATAGAAGCAAAACCCGTAGATAATAGCTTTTTAGAAGGAACTTAGTGGACATTGCCTAATTTACAAGTAGCACCAAATAGACAACCAGATAAAGTACAAATATATGAAACTAGTACAGGTCAAGCAACAATTAGGTTTAGTAATTATAAGCAACTAGAAAAAATAGAAGAGGATGAGAGTGAAATTGAAAATGAGAGTATACATATGGCTTTCGATAATTTAGATATTAATTTAGTTGAACAAAATTTTGATCATATTGTAGATAAACTTATAGAAGATATTGATCATTTAGATGAAGAACAATATTTGGAAAAATATAAGACATATGATTTAGGACTACATAAAATTTCAGACGAAGAAATGAAAATTTTAATCTTAGAAATAGGAGTAGAACACATTTTAGGATCAAAAGAATATAATAATTTATTAGAATTGAAAGCAGAATGTAATCCAGCAGAAGAAAGTAGTACATCAGGAGTAGAAAATTCAGGACACGCAAGCAAAACCGATCAACAATTTTTAAGACCAACAAATGAACAATATAATGAAAAAGCAAAAATAGACTATATGGAAGAAAGTATGATAAAACCTAGAAAAAATAGGATTCCATATTTGAGAGGATTAGAACAAATTAATATAGCTGGTAATATATTAAATTTAGATAATGTAGATCCACAAGATTGGGAAAGAACGATTGAGAGATGAGAAAAAGGCTGCGTACATGTAGCATTAATGTTAGATTTTAGTAATTCACAAAACATGTTAGATTACTTTGAACATACTTTGGATGGTTTAGTCTTTAATTATTTCCAGTCATGGAAAGTTCAAAATCCAGAACAACATCAGGCAGCTAAAACACTTTTTAATATTGATGGTTTTGTTACTTTGATTAAACAAGAGTTTTTAGATCATAATAGGTTAGATGGCAGAAGTGAACAAGAACAAATAAGAGCAATCAGAAATTTAGAACAATTACAAATTTGCGATTTACAGTATATAGCTGAATATACCACATATTTCTTTAAATATTTAGGAAGAACATGTAGAATTAGTGATATTAATTTATTAGATACTTATATGACAAAAATAAAAGGACCAATAGGTGAAAAGATTTGGAATGAATGGCAAAAGCATTCAAAGAAAAATGATATTGCTAGGACCTAGAATTCAACATGTATATGATATATTTAGACAAGAGTGCAGTCAAATAAAGGCTAAGAGACAAATTAGGAAGCAATTTTACATGAGTTGTAAAAATATAGATTTACCACAACAGTATGGTTGCCATAAGAAAAATAAGCATAAGAAAATATACAAAAAGAAATATAAGTCATATAAACCCTACAAACAACATAAGAATTTCAGTATAAGACCTTCAAGAACATATAGGAAAAGAAAATATATTCCAAAACAATTTAGAAAAAGAAGTGGCAAACCTTGGATTAGGAAATATAAAGCACCAAAAGATAAGAGTAGTTGTAAATGTTATTCATGTGGAGAAGCTGGACAAATTAGACCTAAATGTCCAAAATTAGGTAAACAGTCAAAAGAAAAAGTACATTTGATGGAGTTGTTTAAGTTAGAAGAAGATGAGGATATTCAGTCAATATACAGTTTAGATAATTTAAGTGATAATGAGAGTATTTATAGTATAGAGAATATTAACATGATAGACTCAGACTCAGAAGATTCAAGTAGCACAAATAGTGATCTAGAAGAATATATGTGTGCATTCATAGAAGAACAGCATGAAGAAGAATATAAATACATTAATTTAGGTTGGCCAGAAAAATGTCATAAGTGTAATAAATTAGTTGCAAATAAATACTATAATACATACTCAATATTATATGAAAAATGTTATAGTAATAGGTTATTAGAAGTTAATTCAGCAGAATCTGAAATATTAGGAAATATTGTTCATAGTATAGAAAAACCAAAAAATAGTTCTTTAATCACTATAAATTGCGAAATAGAATTAGCAAAAGAACATAAGATATAAACCATAGCTATGATAGATACAGGGAGTATAAAGAGTGTCATAAGAGAAAAGTTAGTACCAGAAAAATATAGACAAAAATTAGCAAAACCAGTAAGAATAACACAATTTGATGAGAGACCAGTTTACTTAACACATTGTATAAATAATGAGTTTATTAAAGTAGAAAACAACACAATTTAATTTACCATTAACATTTGTTTCACCAGTAGGATCATATCCATTTATTTTAGGATTAAACTTTTTGAAAAGTTTGCAAGGTTTTTTATTTATGAACCCTAACATAACATTTTTCAAAAGAGGCATTACAATAACTGATCAAAGTAATACTTTAGAAGCATACAAAAACATAAGTATAGAAGAGACTAGTGGCCAAGATAGTTATCATTTAGAAAACTCAAAAGAAAATGATGAGCATAATAACGTAGAAGAGTTTGATGAAGACATTTTTGAACATAAATACCCGATTTTAGAAGAAGGAACCTGTATAGAAATATTATAGTTAGATAGACCAAAGAGTTTAGAAGAATTGTTACAATTAGCAGAACAAACTGGATTATAGTAGAAGACCCACAGTTACATTGGAGCAAAAATAAAGTACTAGCAAAATTAGATATAATTAACCCAGATTTAACCATTAAGACGGCTGATATGCTTTGTAGTCTAATAGATAAACAAGAGTTTGAGCAACAAATAAAAGAGTCGTTAAATTTAAAAGTAATTAGATCATCTAAGTCTAGACATAGATCAGCAGCATTTATTGTAAGAAAACATTCGGAATTAAAAAGAGGTAAGGCTAGAATAGTTTACAATTATAAGAGATTAAATGATAATACATACGAAGATAGTTATAAATTACCAAATAAGGATGAGCTTATAAACAAAATTCAAGAGAGTAAATATTTTAGCAAATTTTATTGTAAATCAGGTTTTTGGCAAATAAGATTAGCAGAAGAATCAATTGAGTGGACAACCTTTACTTGTCCAGAAGGACATTTTGAGTGGCTCGTTATGCCATTTGGACTTAAAAATGCTCCATCGATCTTTCAAAGAAAGATGGACCAAATTTTCAAGAAATATGATAATTTTTGTAGTGTTTATGTAGATGATATTTTAGTACATAGTAAAAATAAAAATGAACATAGGAAGCATTTAGAGATAGTATTACAAGAATTTATCAATAATGGAATTGTAATTAGCAAAAATAAAATAGCATTAGAAAAGCAAGATATAGAATTTTTAGGAATGTATATCAAGTCAGGTGCAATCCAATTGCAAGATCATATAGCTAAAAAGGTGTTAGAATTTCCAGATAAATTAGAAGATAAGAAACAATTACAAACATTTTTAGGATTGCTAAATTATGCAAGAAATTTTATCCCTGATTTAGGAAGAAAAATAGCAGTATTACATAGTAAAACTAGCAAAACTGGACAAAAATATTTTAATAGTGAAGATATTAAATTAGTTCAAAAAATAAAAGAAGAAATTACTAAACTTAAGCCATTAACATTACCATTAGATGATAGTTACAAGATAGTCGAAACAGATGCTTCATCATAAAAGAAGAAATTACTAAACTTAAGCCATTAACATTACCATTAGATGATAGTTACAAGATAGTCGAAACAGATGCTTCATCATTAGGATGGGCAGATATACTATACCAGAAAAGGCATAGGGAATCTCCAAAGTCTGACGAACAAGTTTGTAGATATTCCTCAGGAAAGTTTAGTGATGTACAGTCAAGATTACCATCAACAGATTTAGAAATTTTAGGGATAATTAATTCACTTGAAGCATTTACGATTAGAACAGATTGTCAAAATATAGTTTCTCATTATAACAAGATACATGCTAATAAACAGGCAGCCCGAAGATGGGTTAATTTTGTTGATTCAATTACAGGAAATGGTTTTAAACCAATTTTTGAACATATAAAAGGTAATGATAATACATTAGCTGATATCTTATCAAGATTAATTTGTTGAACAGGTATGGAATATCGTGGACCATCATCAGCAAATAGCACAAGGCCGCAAGGCAGAAGAGTTTCTTTCAATGGCATGATGATGCACCATCAACCTCCATCATTCAATGGATTTCAAAATAGCATGAGCAGACCAGCATCATCACCAGTACCCACGTTCAACTTTAATGGCAATATTGTTGAAGGAATCAGAAATCCAACTCTGAGATACAGGTCAAGGGTACCAGGGCTTTCTGATAGGCAGCAAGTTCTCTTAGATAATTTTTGGAATATCCAAATTAAGCAGATAAGCATGAGGTTAGGTCATGAAAAATTAATTAGAGCTTTAGAACAAGAGTTTGATAGCTTTAATTTTAATTTCCACCAAAACCAGCAGCATATTCATTCTCTTGAGCACAACCTTCACGTCATCTCTAGGGACCATGAGTCATTACTTGGTAAGTTTACCAAAATGAACCAAGAACTCCAATATCTTAGAATGCAGCAAAAGGCAAGTGACACCTTGAAAAGAGAATTAAAAATAGGTTTAGAAATTGATCAGCATAAGAATAAAGGAAAAGAGGTTATTGAACCCATAGAACAAGAGGCTAATGAGCCCATAGAAGAAATTAAGATTGAGCTCTTAGAAGAAGACGTTGAAATGGAGCAACATCAAAGTAATGAGCAACATCAGGTTCTGAGTGACAAAGAAAAACAAGAAAAATATGAAAGTTTTCTTAGGAATATATCTACAAACTTAATATTAGACGATGTTTTATTAGAAGAAATTTCAAAGGCAAAACTAAGAATAATGCCAACAGATATGCAAAATGAGATCCTGAGCAGATCATCACAGTCCATGAAAGAGTTACAATTACAATTACAATGCGCCTTGTATCAGTCCATCTTTGATCCAAAACCAGGGATGGATATTATTACAAAGATGTATCCTCCATTTGTTTGTGATAGTACAGAGAATTGTATTTGTAAACCAGAAGTTAGCATTGCTATGGCCAGGATTGACATGAGAGATTTTAAATCATGGCATTTTAGTTATGAGCATCAAAAAAAGTATAATGAGGTAGAAGTTACCCCTGCCTTACTATTAGAGTTTGGTTATCTCGACAAAAGATTTATTAACCGTATTTCTCAACTAGAATCATTTCCTGAAAAGCTTATTAAAGTAGCAGAAGATTATCTAGAAAGGTGGAAAGAAATTTACATAAGTTTTATTAGTAGTCCTCCAGATTGGTATGTACACATGCATAAGGAGAAAGCTAGGCATATAGCCATGATCAATGAAGAGTCCTTTAGACTAAACTCTATCTCCTCACATAGGTGGACTCCTTCATACAAAGATATTTTAAAATTTAGAGGGATCCAAATGTTTGCTTTAGATGAGTTTGAAGATTTTAGGTATGATATGATACTAGTAGCAGAAGAAGAAGAGATGTATATTTACAGCAAGACAAGAATCAGTCATCAGCCTTATTGGAAGCCCCAAAATTTCAAAGAAGAAACAGCGAAAATATATTACAAGGTGAAAGAAGATAGAGAAAGAGATGCGGAGCTAGTAGAAGGCGATGAACAGTATTGGAATAATTTGTCAGAAGAAGAGCTGCATAACATCGACTACATGATGGAAGCCTGAAGAACTAGCTGTAAATTAGCATAAGATGAATAACATCATAATGTATTTCCAGAACAGAAATGTATCGAATGAATGCATAAGAGTGTAGTTTGATCCAGAATGTCCTTATGGTTAAGAATGAATAGTACCAAGCCCTTTTCGTTAAAACTCCCATTGAAGAATTGAAGAACACAGAGAAGTTTAGAGGAGAAGAAAGATGCATTTCTGATATCTCAAAACAATTACTACAACCCAATCTTATCTAGGGGTGGTTTGGTATGGAATCCCATACCGAAACTCTTGTTCCGATTCCTAAACCGAAATATTCAGGAATCCCAATTTTAATACCGATCTCAAACCAAATTTTCGAGAATTCCAATTTTTGGGAATCCCGAAATAGTTTTGGGATTTCGGGACAAATCAGGAATCCTGAAATGGTTTTGGGCTTTTGGGCTTTTGGACTACAATTTGACATATTATGCTTTTGGGCCCAATTTGCCAATTTGTTTCTACTAATCTGCCAATCAAATGGCAAGGCTTGTTTCTACTAATATATGCACAAATTTGACATAGTTTCATAGTATATAACCAATATGCCCACTACCTATCTGTGCACAATAACATCTGCCTATTCAATTTATACTACACATGCATGCAATAAAAATGAATTAAGTATCAAATCCAAAAGCGAAAATAATAGTTACAAGCCAAGGTTTTAAAATAAATAAAGTAACAAACCCAAAATAAATAAATAATTAGTTACGAGCCAAAGTTTCAATAATTAAGTTACAAACCAAAAACAAAAAAGCAAAGCTTAAAGTTTATAAAGATTGTTGGCCTCTTCGGCCCCTTGATCTTGTTGATGTTTGTGGTTGCTCCCTTGATGTTGGTACTTGTACTCTTCCCCAAATATTTATCAGAAGCAAGATTGTTACAATACTAATATCATTGCAATAAAGATGGCATTGACCTAATAAATAAAGTAACTTTATTATGAAAAAAGCTGTCTATAAAATGGATACAAGAACTATAACTCATAAATGCATATTGATTCCATTGACATATGAATTTTCATAGCAACCACACGTTTTAACTTAACCATTATATATCACAGAAACAAAATTTGGTTTTAAAAGTGCTGCATTGCAAGTTGATGTCCATCATAAACATAATAGGCATTCGAAACTTTACTCAATACCACTACCATTAGCATTCAATGAAGAGTCCTTTTAGACTAAACTTCTATCTTCTCACATAGGTGGACTCCTTCATACAAAGAATTTAAAATTTAGAGGGATCCAAATGTTTGCTTTAGATGAGTTGAAATTTTAGGTATGATATGATACTAGTAAGCAGAAGAAGAAGAGATGTATATTTACAGCAAAACAGATCATATCAGGCCTTATGGAAGCCCCAAAAATTTGACAGAGAGAGAGATGAGATGACGGCTCGCGTGGCTCGGAAAGATAAGAGACATTGAAACAACAATGGAATGAAAGTGGAAAATATTCTGACCTAAATTACAAGGTGAAAGAGAAATTAGAGAAAGGAGATCGGAGCTTAGTAGAGCCGAGATGAACATATTTGGAATAATTTGTCAGAAAGAAGAGCTGGCATAACATCGACTACATGATGGAAGCCTGAAGAACTAAGCTGTAAATTAGCATAGATGAATAACATCATAATGTATTTCCAGACAGGAAATGTCAACTGTTGTGGTCGGGCATGTAATGGCATAAGATAAATAAAGAAGAAGAGTTGTGATCTATTATAGACTTTATACATTAAAAATGCCATGGTTAAGATGGAATATACAAGCCCTTTCGTTGAAAACTCCCATTGAAAATGAAGAACACAAGAGAGTTTAGAGGGAGAAGAAAGATGCATTTTCTGTATCTCAAAACAATTACTACAACCCAATCTATATGGGTGGTTTGGTATTGGAATCCCATACCGAAACTCTTGCTTCCGATTTCCGTAACCGAATATTCAGAACCCAATTTAATACCGATCTCAAAGTAATTTTCGAGAATTAAGTTGGGATGGAATATTTGATTCGGGACAACAGGAATCCTTAAATGGTTTTCCCAGCTTTTGGAATTAATTTCATAATGGGCCTTTTGGGAATTTGCCAATTGATCTACTAATTTGAAATCAAATGGCAAGGATTGTTTTCTATATTATACACAAATACATAGATTCATAGTAATACCAAATATAACTACCTATCTGTGACATGGTTGCCTACCAATTTTACCTTACACATTGCATGAATAAAATGAATTAAGTATCAAATCCAAAGCGAAAATAATAGTTTACAAGCCAAGTTTTAAAATAAATAAAGTAACAAACCCAAAATAAATAAATAATTAGTTACGAGCCAAAGTTTCAATAATTAAGTTAACCAAACCAAAAACAAAAAAGCAAAGCTTAAAAGTTATAAAGATTGTGGCCTTTCGGCCCCTTGATCTTGTTGATGTTTGTGGTTGCTCCCTTGATGTTGGTACTTGTACTCTTCCCCAAATATTTATCAGAAGCAAGATTGTTACAATACTAATATCATTGCAAATAAAAGATGGCATTACCTAATAAATTAAAGTAACTTTATTATGAAAAAAAGTTGTCTATAAAATGGATACAAGAACTTAACTCATAAAATGCAAATATTGATTCCATTGAACATATGAATTTTCATGCAACCACACTTTTAACTCTAAACCATTATATATCACAGAAACAAAAAATTTAGGTTTTAAAAAGTGCCATGCCAAGTTGATGTCCCTCTCCATTTAATAGGCATTCGGTATTTACTCAATAACACATACAGCTACATTATTAGCATTTCAGGGGACAAACAATTATTCAATGACCAAAATCTACTCATTTGAAAAGCCATTACCCACGAGTTCCAGAATCAACCAAACGTTCTTGCTCAAAACATTATTCAAACAGATGGACATTAATAATAAGAAAATACGAGAAGACACGTAGTTACGAACCTTTTACCTATGGAAGAAAAGAAGATAGAGGAGAATGCCTTGGATGGACCTGGTGTGGAAACCAAGGCCAGAAGAAGTGAGTAGGACTCTGCAACAAATTAATTCAAACCCTAATAAAATTTTCAAAAGAAAGCAGAAATAATTTCAAAAACACTAAATTAAATTAATTACCTTTTTGGGTGATAGAGACTCGACTCGGTGGCTACGATCCGATTATTTCTTGTGAACTTATCGCCTCTCTAGAGGAGAGATAACCTAGAATGCTGTTGGTAAAGAAGGCTCAGATGACTAGGTGTGGTGTGTCGGTGCTTTTTTTTTCAGCAAGAGAGATGAGATTGATCCGCGTTCTCGGTGTGATTTAGTAATACATTTGTCACACAATTATAAGTGGCGTAAGGGAGCCAAAACATATTGAAGTAGTGTCGGTCAAATGAAGCATGAATATTCTCTTATAATTAAATATTAATATATAAATTTTTTGCGGTTCCAGTTATGGGATACCGGAAAAATTTAATGTAAAAAAACCGAACCCGACTGGGAATATTTGGTCGGATTCATATCGAAAATTTTCGGGAATTTTGGTATGGGACGGATTTTTTCGGGAGGTTTTGGGATTTTGGGATTTTTTTTTTTCCAACCCTAATCTTACTAGACAAGAAATTACTCTGAGGTGTTCAACAATTTGTTTATCCTAAGCCTTTTGTGGTAGTTTTATGACCTAGGATACTTCAATACACTCTTATTCTTGTCAATTGAGGGAGCCGCGAAGTGAACAATGGTTCTATAAAATTAGGACCATAAGACTTGTGAAGAACTCAACCCTGTCTTTGTTAAACATAGTGAATCCACTAAGTCTCCTTTCCTCCTCTTAAACAAAATGGAATCCAGTTTTCCCCTTTTGTCCAATGCTGGAACTGATTAAGCAATGCTATTACAGACCTGTATCCCACTGATTAAGGAGTGAAGACATTCACGTGGACATTGCAAAAAATCACTGACATGCTTATAGCAGCTTATATGAGCCTAATACTCTGGCCTCATGCTCCTTGAAATATTGCTTCTTCTTTG